GTTTACAGCCAGTGTTCGCGAAGCAAAGTAAAAGCCAGTTTACAAAAATTAGCACAGACCATACAACTGCAAATATGCATAAGAAGTGGATGAACAACCAGAAGTTTCTGCAAGAGTTTACAGCCAGTGTTCGCGAAGTGTACTGCTACAACATATAATTATACTGTTAGTCAACAATTAGTAAAGAGGCAAAGAATGACTTGCTGTGAGAGGTTAGTTAGTAAATTAAATATTATTTTCATCAACTTACCTAGAGCTCCTAAATATCTTGACACAATTTATCCACAGTGTGGTTGCACCATTTAAGCACAGTCAATATGAAAGCAATAGTTTTCTTCCAACACAAGATAGTTTGCACCTGACAACTGTCAATATTCTCCAGATATGGCTTCTAAATTACCTGTTTGTATTTTCCCTAAAAGTAAGATTTCTACATTTAAAGTAGAAAAGCAAAAAAAAGCCAGTTCCCCAAAATCCGAACTACTGACTAGAAACAGTAACACACACATCACAACATGACTGTCTCCCATGAATTAAAGTTAAAATTGCTGTAATCTAACAAAAAAGTATGAAAATCTTGTATATCCACTTTACAACATCCGCTTGTCGATTTGTAATACGAATACAATCAGAACACAGAAGTTTGTAAGCAAATTATATTGTCACACAATGCAACATGGAAACGCTTCAAGTAACCTATTTTCGAGGGAACTCAGCCAAAATGGATCGTGATTCAGTTGTTAGGCATTATTAGAGAAGGCAGTGGTTGGTTAGACCATAGAATTCTAATATCTTGGGTAGTGGTGTTTAAAGCCGAACATCCCCCGCTTTTTGTTCCCATTTCTTTCTCATTCTCTCTCACTACCCCCGTCTCTCTCTCCCTCACTACCCCTTACTACCCCTCTCTCTCTCTCTCACTACCCCCGTCTTTCTCTCTCCCTCACTACCCCTGTCTCTCTCTCTCTCTCTCTCTCTCTCTCTCTCTCTCTCTGACATTAACTATTTTGTTATCGGATGTTTATTATTAAGTTATCAAAGAAGGAAAGCCATTTGTTATGTAAGCTGCAGTAGCACAGCTGCTAGATGCTTGCCTGCTGAGCCAAAGGTCTTGGATTTGAATCCTCAGTGGGTCAGATTTCCCTCCTTGAGAATTGACCTTGGCTGCCAGGTCAATCCAGCCTTAAATGGGTACCAGGTAATGTCCCTGGAAGAAAAGGTGACCTAGGTAATATTGACTACCTCAATCCACAGACTGCCTACTGGTCTGTAAAAATATGAGTCAAAAATTATATTCCTGATGCATCACTGGCATAAAAATGGGGCACCCTTTGTCATATATTTAAATTTATGTCCCATTTAGGATCACTCACTTGCTTTCTTCATTTCGGCCACTGCCGTTTTCCCGCCTTTCAACTCCAACTTTGAAAGAAACACCTCTAATTAGTCGCCTCCTACAACATGCTTGTTAAAGTTCTGTGTTCTCTCTCCCCCCCCCCCCCCTCCCCCAAATAAGGCCATGGAACCCACCCAGGGAGTAGTGCCAGTTATTTCTTATTGAAATTTTCTTGCATGCCATGATGCCAAACTGTCCAATATCTTTTTCTTGGTCTCCCTCTGCCTCTGCAAATTATTCTCCAATCACCAATTTTCTTAATTTCCTTCTTCTGCGTTCACTTTGAAAAGAACAGTTGACATATTGTTTTATGGTTTGTAGCTAGACTGTGATATCTGCGTTTTTCAGCCAAGCTCATCTAATTTCATTAAAGTCTTAATTACAGCACAGCATAACTAAGTGAAGAACCGTTTTGAGGTCTTGATGTCTGTACAAGAGGAAATGACACCTGATGAACTGGCGGTACAAGCTAGGGATATCTTGATAACAGCAGCTAAAGACTTAATACCCACCAGGACTAAGCAACATAAACCATGGATCACACCATACACGTTAGAACTAATAAAACAACGAAGGGAACTGAAAAAGAAAGGAGAAACCAATGACAGTAGGATGAAGTATAAATTTTTAACACGAGAAATAAGAAAGTACACAAGAAAGGATAAAAATCAGTATGTACAAGATTGCTGTATTAAAATAGAGCAGCATCATAAAAATGGAAGAGATTACGAAATGTTCAAGGAAATGAAGTTATTGACAAGAAATTTTCAACCTCAGTTAAATGTTATTTGTGACAGGTTGGGAAATACTTTAACAGAATCTAGACAAATTCTAGGAAGATGGCAGGAATACTGCAGCGGAATGTATGATATGAATGACAGTGAGGATATGAATGATATACATGAACCAGTAACAGTAGAGGCAGAACCTGAACCTTCATTACATGAAATTTCATGGGCAATAAGGAGCCTGAAAAATGGTAAATCACCTGGATGTGATGAGATACCAGCTGAATTGATTAAAGCGGGAGGAGAAGAAAGCATAAAAATCTATCATGCATTATGTGAAAAAATATGGAAATATGGTATTTGGCCAAAAGACTGGAAGGGAACTATCTTCATTCCAATACCAAAAAAGGGTGACCTGAAATTATGTACAAACTATCGAACTATTGCCCTGATCAGTCATGCAAGTAAAATTCTACTAAAAATTATAATGAGAAGACTGCATAAGAAAATGGAAGAAGAGATTAATGTAGCTCAGGCTGGATTTAGACAGGGAAGAGGAACAAGAGATCATATATTCAACATGCGTTTAATAATAGAGAAGTGTAGAGAATTTAATGTAAATCTGTTCTTATGTTTTGTGGATTATTCAAAAGCATTTGACTGTGTACAAGATCAGAAGCTTTGGGAAATCATGAGGAATATGGGCTTTCCATCACATATAGTGCAGCTCATTAAAATGCTCTATCAAGACCAACAAGCAGCAGTCAGAATAGATGGAGAGACATCAGACTGGTTTGGCATCAAGCAAGGAGTCCATCAGGGATGTGTGCTGTCACCGTATTTGTTCAACCTGTACGCCGAAAATATCATGAGAAATGTAAGAGATGATATAAACAAGGAACAATATGATGCCCTAAACATTGGTGGTCATGAAATACCAGAAATTCGTTATGCTGATGATACAGTATTACTATCAACATCACAAAATGGTTTAGAAAACCTATTAACCTCACTCCAAAGAAATAGTGAAAATCATAACTTATTTCTTAACACAGCAAAAACAAAGATAATGCATACAAACAAAACTGCCATGGAGAAGGAAATATATGTTAATGAGGAAAGATTGGAAGTGGTGGAAAATTTCGAATATCTTGGGTCACTGGTTACCAACAATGGTGACACAATGAAAGAAATTAAACGGCGACTATCAATTGCTCTTCAAAGACTAAAACAACTGAATAAATTATGGAATTGTACAGATAGAATTACAAAGGTCAGATTTTTAAGAGCATGCATCTTTCCCATTGCAACATACGCCTGTGAGACCTGGACACTTACTAAACAAGCGGAACAGCGCACATAAATGCATTTGAATATAAATGTTACAGACAGGTTCTAAGAATATCTTGGGTAAAGAAAAGAACAAATGCATCCAAACTTCAAGAGCTGAATATTGAAGAGGGTTGGCTAGTAAAGACAATAAAACAAAGAAAATTGAAATATTTTGGTCACTTGAAATGTCATGGAAGTCTAGAGAGAACAATAATGGAGGGGTATATGCCTGGGAAGAGAGGAAGAGGAAGGCCAAGGAGAAGATGGGTGCAGGATGTGGCAGATGATCTCCAGATGGGTGTATCAGACGCAGGACATCTTGCTCATGATAGGAAGGTTTTCCGGAGGGTTGTTATGGCAGCGAGGTTCCGCGAGGGACATGCTACTGAATGAATGAATGAATAACTAATTATTTCAGTAAAGTCTGAATTACAGCCTAGCACATCTAATTTCAGTAGAATCCTAATTACAGCCCAGCACATCTAATTTAAGTAGAGTACCAATTACAGCCCAGCACATCTAATTTTGGTCGAGTCCTAATTACAGCCCAGCACATCTAATTTCAGTAGAGTCCTAATTACAGACCGGCACATCTGATTTCAGTAAAGTCCTACTTACAGCCCAGCACATCTAATTTAAGTAAAGTCTGAATTACAGCCCAGCACATCTAATTTCAGTAGAGTCCTAATTACAGCCCAGCACATCTAATTTCAGTAGAGTCCTAATTACAGACCGGCACATCTGATTTCAGTAAAGTCCTAATTACAGACCGGCACATCTGATTTAAAGTAGAGTCCCAGTTACAGCCCAGCACATCTAATTTCAGTAGAGTCCTAATTACAGACCGGCACATCTGATTTCAGTAAAGCCCTAATTACAGCCCAGCACATCTGATTTAAAGTAGAGTCCCAGTTACAGCCCAGCACATCTAATTTAAGTAGAGTCCCAATTACAGCCCAGCACATCTAATTTCAGTAGAGTCCTAATTACAGACCGGCACATCTGATTTCAGTAAAGCCCTAATTACAGCCCAGCACATCTGATTTAAAGTAGAGTCCCAGTTACAGCCCAGCACATCTAATTTAAGTAGAGTCCCAATTACAGCCCAGCACATCTAATTTCAGTAGAGTCCTAATTACAGCCCAGCACATCTAATTTCAGTAGAGTCCTAATTACAGACCGGCACATCTGATTTCAGTAAAGTCCAACTTACAGCCCAGCACATCTAATTTAAGTAAAGTCTGAATTACAGCCCAGCACATCTAATTTCAGTAGAGTCCTAATTACAGCCCAGCACATCTAATTTAAAGTAGAGTCCCAGTTACAGCCCAGCACATCTGATTTCAGTAAAGTCTGAATTACAGCCCAGCACATCTAATTTCAGTGAATTAGTCACTGAGTACAGCATGCTTGCTAACGGGCAATAGGTCTATTCCACCTCCCCTCCCCGATGTACCCAGTTTTGGGCCTCTGATCCCACACAGAGAATTTCCTCAGTAATCCATTATGATTTTAATAAGCCTAATAATTGTTCTTTGTTGATGCAGAAAACAAGATCTTCGTGAGCTGAAGATGTTACAGAAGCAGGAGAATAAGCAAATTACTGACCTACTGTACAAGAATCAAAACATTCTGGAAGCTAAGGAGAAGAAGTTTGAAGCTGATCGTTTGGTATGTCTTTGCTTAGTTTATATTTTAACTTATTATCCATCATCATCCTTTTGTACCATTTATAGTTCATTTAGGGCTGGCAGTCTATTCCTCCAGTCCAGGGTCTCTTGCTCAAAATTTGTGATGTCATGTATGGCAACCAGTCCAGCACCTTCCAGCCTCCCTCATCAACATTCAATTTATTGGTTTTTTTTTTTAGTGGGTGATTAGCCCCCCCCCCCCCCCCCCCCCCCTTTCCCCCCAAACTCCATCCAGTCTTGGGACCAGTACAGCTGCTGAGGCATTTTACTGCTTCACTATGACATATATACAACAGTGTTAGTTTTTTTAAAATAGTTATAAGCAAGTAGTCAACTTGTGATCTTCATTGGTGCCATGAAATTTTTAGGAAAGAGGTCAAACTAATAGTTAGTATCACACAGTTCAGTGAACACAGTCCTTTAATTCTATCAGTCAGTCATGGTTCTTGTATCCTGTTAATAAATATTAATAAATTATTCTGTTAGCCATTTCAGAGCCACTGAGAAATACTTTTAATGATATTTGAATATCTATGAAGATTTATTCTTCATCTAGTAGATATCTATTTGCTCTCATGATGCCAGTTATCAGTGGTGGGCATATTCAAATAATGTCAGATGACAGAGAAGTAAAAACTGTATAACGAGGGAGATGAATGGTCTTAGACCACAAGGCAGACCAAGAAGACAGTGGAGAGATAATATCCAGACAGACCTGCAAACACTTGGTGTCACCAAGTGGACAGAAAAGGCCAACCAGAGAGATGAATGGAGGCGGATGATATCTGCATCAGTGAACCTCAAGGGCTCGGAGTGCTGAAAAAGAAAAAGTAGATATCTAAGTCTGGTTTAGCGAGCCTTTTAAACTTGACTTTGTGCTGTTGGTTTTGTATTCTGGCATTGCAGAAGACATTTGAACAAGATCTAGATGCACTGAAAAAGCAACACAAAATGTTGATAGAAAAAGCTTAACAAAGCTTTATCTGTATATATATATATCTAACTGTAGTTTAGCAAGCCTTTTGAAACTTTTCTATTTTGTGGTTGTTTTTGTATTCCAGGCATTAAAGAAGACATTTGAACAAGATCTGGATGCACTGAACAAGCAACACAAGATGTTGATAGAGAAAGCTGAACAGGCGCAACAAGCAGACATGAAGAATGCTGCCAGGAAACTAAAGGCAGAGCAAGTAAGTGAGAATATGTAACAAAGTGTATGGATTTTCTGAGTCGTTTTCTTAGCAAAATGAGTTTAGAGCATGAAGAAAAATAATAATAAACAAAACATGCAGTCAGAGTTAGCCGATGGTAGCCATTCATTAACTGGTGCCTGCACAGAATAGAGAAAATTACTTGTAATGATAGAATACCTAATGTAGAGCTATGGGAGAGAAATAAATTATGTCATTATATCAGGAGGTTAAGAAAAGATGCTGCCGTTGAATAGGACACTGTTATTAAAACCTCAGAATAATAGAACTAGAATATCATTACACTGGAACACACAGGGCCATAGAAATCAGGTTAGTTAGTTGTGTATCCTTTACAGGACGTTGCAGAACCAACCCCAGCAGCCCCTGGCTGTTGTGTGGTTTCTCTAGGCAAATTTACGCCCAGTAGTTTACCATTGGTTTCTGGACGGTTGGTTCCCCCGATACCACTGTCGAAACCAACGCAAGGCACATGGTCCGCAGCTGAGATCGAACTCGACACCCCGGCAATATGAAGCGTTTGCATCAACTTAGCCACAGAGCCGACATAGAAATACAAGCAGACCTAAAAACATGCAGAGAAGGGAACCAGAGAGTGAGGTTGCAAACATGGGTAGGTAAGGGGTGAGCATATGACAGCAAAGGATGGGTTTTAAACATTACAGCAGTTCATATTTTACAACTAGTGGTCTACATGGTTTGGCAGCTAGATGCTCGCCTACATATCTGAAGTTCGTGGTTCAAATCTTAATGAAGCTGAACTTTTTTCAGAAATGACCTTAGCTCCTAGGTTGACCCAGCCTTAAGTGGGTAAAGTCCTGGGAAATAAATGCAGCCGGCACGCTGTTGACATCATCACCCACTGAGTGCTAATTGATGTATAATATACAGGTCTACTAGCACTCTATGCTTAATACTCCTGAAGGTGTGGAAAAGGGTCCTTTGACTACTTTATGTAGTTTAGCCTGCCAGAGGGAGTCAAACAGCTGACTACTTTATGTAGTTTAGCCTGCCAGAGGAAGTCAAACAGCTGACTACTTTATGTAGTTTAGCCTGCCAGAGGGAGTCAAACAGCTGACTACTTTATGTAGTTTAGCCTGCCAGAGGCAGTCAAACAGCTGACTACTTTATGTAGTTTAGCCTGCCAGAGAGAGTCGAACAGCTGACCACTTTATGTAGTTTAGCCTGCCAGAGGCAGTCAAACAGCTGACTACTTTATGTAGTTTAGCCTGCCAGAGGGAGTCGAACAGCTGTTCAAACTTTATGTAGTCTAGCCTGCCAGAGGCTCAAAAAGCTGACTACTTTATGTAGTTTCGCCTGCCAGAGGGAGTTCGAGCTGACCACTTTTAGGTAGTTTAGCCTGCCAGAGGCAGTCAAACAGCTGACTTACTTATGTAGTTAGCCTGCCAGAGAGAGTCGAACAGCTGACCACTTTATGCAGCCTGCCAGAGGCAGTCAAACAGCTGACTACTTTATGTAGTTTAGCCTGCCAGAGAGAGTCGAACAGCTGACCACTTTATGTAGTTTAGCCTGCCAGAGGCAGTCAAACAGCTGACTACTTTATGTAGTTTAGCCTGCCAGAGGGAGTCGAACAGCTGACTACTTTATGTAGTCTAGCCTGCCAGAGGCAGTCAAACAGCTGACTACTTTATGTAGTTTAGCCTGCCAGAGGGAGTCAAACAGCTGACTACTTTATGTAGTTTAGCCTGCCAGAGGGAGTCAGACAGCTGACTACTTTATGTAGTTTAGCCTGCCAGAGGGAGTCAAACAGCTGACTACTTTATGTAGTTTAGCCTGCCAAAGGGAGTCGAACAGCTGACTACTTTATGTAGTTTAGCCTGCCAGAGGGAGTCAAACAGCTGACTACTTTATGTAGTGCCAGAGAGAGTCGAGCCTGCCAGAGGGAGCCTGAAACAGCTACAGCTGCCAGAGGGAGTACTTTACTGTATGTAGTAGCCTGCCAGAGGGAGTCGAACAGCTGACTACTTTATGTAGTTTAGCCTGCCAGAGGGAGTCAAACAGCTGACTACTTTATGTAGTTTAGCTTGCCAGAGGGAGTCAAACAGCTGACTACTTTATGTAGTCTAGCCTGCCAGAGGAAGTCAAACAGCTGACTACTTTATGTAGTCTAGCCTGCCAGAGGGAGTCAAACAGCTGACTACTTTATGTAGTCTAGCCTGCCAGAGGGAGTCGAACAGCTGACTACTTTATGTAGTCTAGCCTGCCAGAGGGAGTCAAACAGCTGACTACTTTATGTAGTCTAGCCTGCCAGAGGGAGTCAAACAGCTGACTACTTTATGTAGTCTAGTAGTTTAGCCTGCCTAGCCTGCCAGAGGGAGTCAAACAGCTGACTACTTTATGTAGTTTAGCCTGCCAGAGGGAGTCGAACAGCTGACTACTTTATGTAGTTTAGCTGCCAGAGGGAGTCGAACAGCTGACTACTTATGTAGTTGCCAGAGGGAGTCAAACAGCTGACTACTTTATGTAGTTTAGCCTGCCAGAGGGAGTCGAACAGCTGACTACTTTATGTAGTTTAGCCTGCCAGAGGGAGTCGAACAGCTGAATACTTTATAGCCTGCCAGAGGGAGTCGAACAGCTGACTACTTTATGTAGTTTAGCCTGCCAGAGGGAGTCGAACAGCTGACTACTTTATGTAGTTTAGCCTGCCAGAGGGAGTCGAACAGCTGACTACTTTATGTAGTTTAGCCTGCCAAAGGGAGTCAAACAGCTGACTACTTTATGTAGTTTAGCCTGCCAGAGGGAGTCAAACAGCAATAAAAGTTTTCAATACAGACATAATGACACACACCAATTCAGACTATTTCACACGGCTGCTTGGGGAACTAGTAGACTGTGTTTGATGTGTTGGTACCCCTCCTCTACAGGGATGCACCAATTTTTTAGTTTTGTTTTAATGTATCGCTAAATAAATCAAATTTTCACATTTACAAACACAAACTCTTTCAGTAGAAAATGTTATATTTTCCAATAAAAAACCATTAGACAAATATTTTCCAAGGAAAAAGAGTTAAACCATTTTTGGGGGATTTAAACAGTAAAGGGAAATTAAACTTCTAAAATAAAAGGCCCCCCCACACCCCCCCCCCCCCCCCCCCCCCCCCCCCCCCCCCCCCCCTCAAAATACAGAAACATATTCAGGCTAATTAAATACTATCCCTGGCAAATATGTTGACAGTATTTTGCATTAATTAACAAAAAGAATCAAACAACTTCAATGACACATGTTTTTTTTTTTTAAGGAAAAAGAGTTGAAATTATTTCGAGAGAAGCAGAAGCAGGAAATGAAACTTCTGAAACAGGAACTTGATCTTTTGCCCCGGGACAACAAGAAGGATATAGCTCAGAAAATTCGAGAAACCAAGCAGATTGAAATGGAAGAGAAGGTTAATGCTTGTGGTCTTTTGTTACTATATAAGCTTAATCATTTCACAGCACTAGTTTTTCAGTGTTCATTAATTTTTTCGCTATGTGTGCATGTTTTGTTTTTATGTCACTCTTATCTTTTCTGAACCACCAGTTGTGTAAGGGACAGTTGTGTTGGTTATCTGGTTGGAAGTTGGGGTTTGCTGACCATTTCTGCTTCTTCTTTTGCCCTTAATAAGGTAGTTGGCATGTTATTTTGTCAACTATACACAGATAGACTGCAATAACTGCACCTTTCGACTAAGCAAATTTTTTTAAAATGAAGCATTTTGTGATTTAATGTTGATTAACACACACAAAAAAAGGCAGAGCAGTTTAAGTTTGTTTTTTTAACTTTAAAAAAAAAACAACCCACTTTATTATTTTACTTCAGTTTGCAAAGCTAATGTTACCACTTTTGCTATCTTGGAAAACAGTTCTTGTCTCAACCATATTCAAGTCATGAATTTGACAGAAGAAACTTGCTTTGAATGGGTTTTGAAAAGTAAGGTGGCCAACTATAATCGTGATGAAGTTTAAAATGCACTAATTACTGTTGAAATGAAGTCACTAATGTAGTGCTTTGGGAGAGAACTAAATAAATTCCAGTAAATCAAGATGAGAGAGAAATATTCTGGCGTCAGATAGAAGACAGTGAGAAAATATGTAAATAGTAAAGGACCCTTTTCCACCCCTTTCAGGCATATTGGGTATATAGGGCTCGACCTATATTTTATAGACCAAGTTGGGTGATGTGGTCAGCATCATGCTGGCCACCCTTACTTCCCAGGACTGCACCCGGTATCCACTCAAGGCTGGGTCGACCTGGGAGCCAAGGTCATTTTTTTTAAAAGTGCGGCTGTGCCAGGGAGCGAACCCACTATGTAAATAGTATGGAAACTATTTTCACTGGAACTCACAGGGTTGGGTCAGAGGAATAAATCCCTCCCCTCAGTATGGAGGAGGGAACTAGAGAGAGACAGGAAACGATAGGGAAGGCATGGAGTGAGCTGCGTGGGATAACAAAGGAGAGGATAACTTGGTGTAAGTTGGTAGAGGGACCTGGCTTCTTTTTTTGACGATGAAGGGGGAAGAAAAAAATATTGTCAAACTATGAAAATGGGACCATTATGACCTACTGATTGCTGAAATGACGAATCACCAAAAACGATACTGGAAGATGATTGTTTTTAAAAAGTGGTCACAGATGAAGGATTCAAGTTCATTGCATAATTTAAAAAAAAAAAATCACACATGGCTAAGTCTTTGTCTGCAGAACAATGGGCTGTCTGTTGAGAGCATTGCATGCGTTAGTCTTTCTCTGCAGAACAATGGGCTGTCTGTTCAGAGCATTGCATGCGTTAGTCTTTCTCTGCAGAACAATGGGCTGTCTGTTCAGAGCATTGCATGCGTTAGTCTTTCTCTGCAGAACAATGGGCTGTCTGTTCAGAGCATTGCATGCGTTAGTCTTTCTCTGCAGAACAATGGGCTGTCTGTTCAGAGCATTGCATGCGTTAGTCTTTCTCTGCAGAACAATGGGCTGTCTGTTGAGAACATTGCATGCGTTAGTCTTTCTCTGCAGAACAATGGGCTGTCTGTTCAGAGCATTGCATGCGTTAGTCTTTCTCTGCAGAACAATGGGCTGTCTGTTGAGAACATTGCATGCGAACTCTGTAGCTCTCAGGTGTCACTGAGAACATTTCCACATTTCAGCCTTGATTTAATGGAATAGTCTAGTTCTAATAAGAACCCGTGACATTCAGATTGCAGGGCATATAACAAGATCATTTCAGCATGAAGAGCCCTAAGAAATGTCTTTAGTATTGTTTGTAATCAGGAATATAGTTTGAATCAGTTTCTATTAAGAAAGGTTTTATCTTTTGTAGATACTGTTATTAACAGCATAGAATATGCTCAGTCTTACAGCCATTTTTATTCTTTAGCTGCCTTACCGGAATTTTATTGCTTAAATTTCCATCAGGAGCGAGTGTTCATAGTGAATCAGATGGAAAAGATGGAGAAACTGATGAGGCAACTTGCAGACCAGCATCGACAGAAGATTGCCATGTTGGAAAGCCAGTGTCTACAACAAAAACAGCAGTTGTTAAGAAGTGGGTATTTTCAGAGTATATACTTTGTGGGAATTTGTTTCATTTTTAGTTCTTTTAGTTTTTATGAAAAAGGCAAGCATCCACCACAAGCGCTAATTTTTCTTATTTGTGCAGATGGGAAGGAAGCTAGTCTTTACATTTCAAAAAGTTTAAACCCACAACAATTTTTTCCCTCTCCTGTATGAGGTAACAGGAGAATTATCAATCAGCAGGTCCATTCCTGAATATCACTCTCGTCACGGCATGCCTGGAAATCTCTCTTTCTCTAGCCAGTTCTCCAACCCTGCGTGCTTTCCTAGCCAATTTATCTTCATTGTTTTGTATCGACATTTGTGAAGGCTGACTCTGCCTCATTTTCCGTAAACTACTCTCCGTCACAAGAGTCGCTGTAACATAGCAGCTAGACGCTCGTGGGCGGATCGGAAGGTCGTGGGTTTGCTCCCTGGCAGAGCTGGACTTTTTTCACAAATGACCTTGACTCCCAGGTCAACCTAGCCATGAGTGGGTACAGGGTGCAGTCCCGGGAAGTAAAGGTGTTGACCACATCACCCATCTTGTGCCGACTGGTCTATAAAAATATAGATCTAGCTCTATATGCCCTATACGCCTAAAGGTGAGGAAAAGGGACCTTCATTTTTGTTTTTTTTACTTACTCTCTGTCACTGTTCTCTTCAGGTGTTTTTCTTTCTCTTGATCCATAGTAGAATGATGCAACAGGAACATATGTTGTTAAAAATTATTTTTTGTGTGTCAAGATATTATGTGTTTGATCTGATATATGAGCTATTATCTATAGTTATGTGCAGATTTATCCAGCAAATCTTAAGCAATAAAGTATGGTAATTTTAGTGAAAAATCATCAAGTTTTAGTGGCACATCTTAGTTAACATGAGGCTTGCGGTTAACATCCGTGAGAAATCAATGTTTCAGTTTCCTTTGTTGCTATCAATGGTTTTAGCAATCAGCAACTAAGTCTGTTGACTAGCTTGATTTTTCTAAAAGTCTACTACAAATTTACCCTCTTAAAATGTTCAATAATTTCTCTAGGCCGTGAAACCAGTGTATGGGAGATGGAGAAAAGCCAGCTGCACGAGCGGCACCAGCTTCTGAAGACTCAACTGAAAGATTTATTTTTCGTCAAACGCCATCAGATGCTCACAAGGCATCAGAAGGTGGGTACCTTGTGTACTGATTTTTGTGATCATTCATTTGTCTTACTTAATGTTAGAATCCTAAACAGTGTCTTTAGTAGTGCCACCTATTGCTAGAGGACTGACACTGTGTGTTCATAAGGGTGTGGTAAATGCAGTTCAGGCGCTGCAGCATCCACCAGATAAGTGAGGACAACTCTGCACTTGAGCAGCGCTGGGCACTAACATAAAAGTAAAAGCATAAGGAAAGGACCCCTGTCAGAAATCAGGCATATGTTGTTAGACTCATGTTTGTATATGCCAGTCAGCAAACTAAACTCACTCGATAGATGGACATTTCAGTCAAAAATGGAGGCCACATAATCTTCCTGTACAGATATAAAAGGCAAACAAAAACTGCCATAATTATCTTGTCAATATAAAGATTATGAACTAAATCACAAAACTAGAATAGAGAAGCGGCATGTTGAGAATTGTAATTAACAACTCTTTGGATTGAGTATGCTGAAAATAACATGACAAATAGAAAGACCCAAAAAGAAAGACACTGCATGTATGTTGTAATTACTGATAAGATGACTGTGAAAAATGGAGAGAAAAGCAGAAACTAAAGGCGCTAGACAGTCATAAATCAAGAGAAAGAAGGATGGAAAGAAATAATCTGTGCTAGTGTTGAGAGATTTTGGTGCATGATTACGTCTGCCACTTAGAAAATGTATTTATAAGTGAAAAATAATTTCTTCTTTTTCTTCTGCGTTCATTCAAAGATGTAATTGCGTTGTGTCTGTACAGCATGGCTGCGATTTTTGCACCTTTTGACCAACACATCCGACTTCTGCGGGCTTTTGTTGACCGGGTTAGCCTTCCTGGGAAAAATAATTTAATAAAAGAGCTGTACTAATTGACACATATAGCTAACCACCTAACTACCTTTCAGTTTACTGGCACTGCTATTTGATTTACCTTCCTGCAGGACACTCACATGTCTGCATTTAATCTGCAAAAAGAAACTTGATTCGTTTGTAGCCTTGTTCATGATTAGCAGAATTTGCAGCTAAAGTGTTTTGCAGGATGGGATGATGTTGCTTACTTATCTTTCTTAGTTCCTATGACATGCTGAGGGGGAAGGTGGGGGGTGGGGGGGGGGACGGGCTACTGTGTTCTTTGCTTCCCAGTAGGCTGCACTAAAATATGGGTTTCTTGAATTCATCATTTTTGTTTGTTTGTGTGTGCCTGCCCCTCCATTGAAGCCAATAAATTGGTATATCCTGGTGTGTTAAAACATGCAAACAATGAAGGAAAATTTATGAACATTAAATAGGATAAATTCAGAACAAAAATGAGAGAAATTCTGGACAATCACTGGTATTGACAGATATTTACAAATTTATGTAAAGAGTTTTAAACAATGATAATCATGTATGCACACACACACCAGACACCCACTGACATTTGTGTGTGCATTGTGTGCAATGTGCTAACATAAATTGATTGCCTTTATTTGTGAATTTGTCATTGTTATCTAATGACAGTCATGTGTTGTTACAGGAAATGGAAAACTTAAAGAGGTTCAATCAAACAAAGGAAGAGGAGATGTTGAATAGACATAGCATGGAAAAACGCCGTCTGCCAAAGATTCTTAAGAGCGAGGCCAAAACTAGGGCTCAGATGTTTAAGCAGAGCTTAAGACTCAGTAATATTGGCACCCCAGAGGACGACAAAACAAAAATTAAAAACGTAAGTTAGTCAATGATTTGTTAATTTGCTCCTATTTTTTGAGAAAGCAGGCTTTATTTTAATTCTTCTAGTTTTTCTGAGTAACTGGCTTCCATATGTGTGTGTGTTTGGGTCCATGCATGATTGTTGTTTTCAGTATGTTGAAGACTAGTTTTGATAGTTTCATACCAAATCATATCATATCATATATATTTATATATATATATATGCTAGATAAATACAGTGATTGTTCTGTTCCACAGCTAATAAATAATTAATATTTGAAATGATCGTTACTCTCTGAGTATTATTTTTGCTCTGAGGACCTTAACCCTTGACAATGCACCAAGAAGAAGAATAATACTAATGTTTTACAAGATCTGAACATCAAGAAAAACTGACTCATAAACAAACATCCTTTCTTTGAAACTGTAATACTTCATTCTAGTAAATGCCATGGGTTCCTGGGCTACATTCTGGTGAAAAAAAGAATAAAAAAGAGTTGACCCACTGCCTCCACAATAAGCATGTCATACAAGGCAACTAATCTGGATAGCTTCCTGCCAAATTGGAATGCATCTGTCTGAGACGTGAGCAACCAGCTATATGCGTACAAATATGCCACCAATGTGAAATGAATGTGCACACAATACTCAAGTTTTAGAGCAAGACCAAAGTCCAGAAATGGACGAAAAAAACCGTATTTTTCTCGCCAGAGTTAAGAACCCGTTAACACTTAAAAGAATGATATTGTGTTTATTTTGTCCTTTTTTTTTTTAAACATCTATTATTACCAGAAGAAGAGGTATGAGTTGACCAGCATGAAGGTGGACATGACATTGGAGACATTGGGCATGAAAATATGGGAGTTAACAAAGCACTGGTCGGTTTTCTAGAGGACCATAAAGGGGCCACATCAGCCTTATCAAAGAGCTGATACCAAAATTTAAAAAAATAACATAATAATAAAAACATCTTTACATCAGTTGAAAACAGCGTAATAATCTGATGTTATATTGTCAATAGTTTGAAGAGAGTGAGAAGACACGGATGAAGACTGAACAGCTGAGACAAGAAGAGAAACACAGGAGGCAGCTGAAGGCATTAAGAGATAAAAATGAAGCCACTGTCAAGGAATTAGAACAGTTGCAGGTAATTTCTTTATTTCATTTAGATCTTTACCACATTTTTTTTATTTCATTCTTTGTTTCCTATGGACACATTAATTCAGTCATATGCCCTGCCATCCTTTTTTTGGGGAGGGTTATATTCAATTTCTTTTATTTGTTCTCCGTGGGCGTGTTAACCCTACCAGACCTGAGACTCAGAACCTAACTGTCCCTTATTGCTAGACTCCTGGACATTAAAGCGAAAAACCAATATGATCTACAAAAATATTTAGTTACTTGCAAACAAGTGGTTAGAATAAGATAAAACTTGGAGACGTAGAAAATAAGTCAATGTTTCATCTGTTGCCAATATTCCACCTTTATGTGCCAATCCACCTAGCAGGATGAGCCTTGTTTCACACAGAGGTACTACTTACAAAGTGAGCACCAGCTGTTGCTCTTCACCTTCTTGCATGGATTGTCTTTGTAAGACACTCCAGGATTTTGCTTGTTGTACCTGGAATGCTTTTCCATGCACACAACACAGATATGATTAGGCGATGTCCCAGGGGAATCTCTGGAAAATGATTGCCTGGGGTCGTCCGTTGAGGACCGGGTTCCTTTTATGGGTGGCGAGGGCTGATGTCCTTTTTTCACCAATAAGTTGCAGGCACAGTTTCTGAATATATCATGTTAAATAAACTGGCTTTTTTAAAGTAGCTTGCTGCTTTGAAGTATACACGATGTAAGAATTGTAACTGGCCCACTTACAAAATTGTATGAAAAGCCGCAGGGGCCAGCAGTAAGGACGACGAGACCGGTGAAGATGGGTCATCTGGTCATTTTTGTCACAGCCACTCATATAGTCCTTCACCAGCTGTGGCATCTGTATTTCTTGCACACTGGCATCTTTATTTCTTCTGTTTATTACTTCATTTTGGGCTGGATCATGGTTGTTTGAAGTAAATGTGATGGGCTTTCTATCCTGTCAAACTAAACATGTTACACTATCTTGATATAGATAGCGACTGTCATCCCTAGCAAGTTTTTTTAATAACTTTTTTCAGCGGCTTAGGAAACTGCTTCCTGTTTTGCTGCAGGGTTCCCACAATTCCTTATGTGTAATTCTGACAGTGCATATTTAGCAGGAGTTACAGAAGAACCGGTCCATGACAACCACATGAGATTTAGTTTCCATTGCACATGAGGTCAGGAGACGAGCGACTGTATTTCCTTCTATGCCCAAGTCTTTTATAGGCATTGGTGCAGCACCAGTGTAGATTTCTGCATTCAGAATGTAACTAGTCTCACCTTCACAGAGAAGGAAAGACTTGATGCCCAATTTTGTGAGCTTATCCCTGATATACTGCTTGATGGCCAAGGATTTTTTGTTTTTGTTTTGTTTTGCAAAGATCATCCCCTTATCTAGGCTCAAATGTTGCTTTGGCAGATAGAAGTGGGAAGCAGACTTTCCAAGAAAGGCCTAACATAATATATTCTTTCGAAATCTGTCTTCCTTATCAGTTAGGTGTAAAAAAAAAACTCCAAAAGGCCATGAATTAGTCTTGTCATAACATTTCGAAATCTGGGAGTAAACCTAACAGAGTCAGATCCCTCATTTGTCCAATAATCCCAATAACTAGGCTTAATACATAAGTATTCCATTTAGATCCTCAGTCCAAAAAAGCCTTCATTTCTTCCACTGTGGCATCCTGGAAATTTTTAGCATTGAAGGAGTTGGGCTTTGCTATATGCAATTGGTGGGCTCGGAAGTCGGTTTTCTCTGTCAAATTTTACCAAAAAGTATCATCCAAAAATTAGACCAGAATACACTTGGGCAAACAATTAATTTAAAAACATATTATTTTTTCTTGCCCCCCCCCCCCCCCCCCCCCTTTCCGCCCCAATTTTGTTGTTGTTGTTGCGGTAAATCTTTTCTTTGTGATGCTAGAAGTGTTTATGTAATGCCTCTCCTTAGTCAGTGAATCAAATATTTGATAAACTGAGTCAATGAAATGATTGTTTTGTAGGCTGAAAAGCGCAAGATGCTGATGGAGCAGGAGACCCAGAAAATCAAAGAGCTTGATGACCAGTTTGCTAGTGATATGAACAAATGGAAAGCCATGCTGATACCAAGGAAACAGGTACACTTGTTCAGTATGTCATTTTGTGTGAATGTATATTATTAGTAGATGCATGGACTATTCATCAATATTCTAAATTGTTGTTTAGGTGGCTGAGTGAATTCAAATTACCATTATTTGTAAATGTTTTATATACACACACACGCGCGTGAGCGCGCGACAAAGGTAAAGTCATATGTTTATTGTTATTGTGTGCGTGTTTGGCTACCATAGAGAGGCACATACGTGCACACACACATTTATATATTTTTTTAAAAAGTATTAGTTGATGTGTGGAACATTTTAAACTATTCTTTAGTTAGCTGACTATGATTCCATCGCTATTTAATGATTGCTTGGATTTGCTGCTAAGGATTTTCTACAGGACGAGATGGCCATTCTTGCTCCAACCTTCCTTAGTTGTCTCCTTGATCATGCATCCTAGGTTACAGTGTAACTGCTGCTTGCTTCCAATGTTGGCCCTGGCCAAAAATTGTGAACTGTGAAAGTCAGAGTTTTTTCAGTACATTTGTATCATGAACAGAAAGTAGCTGTCAGAACAGCTGATGAAACATCAGATTGGTTTTAGATCAGATTGAGTCTGTCCTCATAGTTTTTGAATATTGATGCAGAAAATGTAATAGGTAAAAAGGTAAGTCTGACAATTGTGATCCATTCTTAATAAATAGAAATCCACTTCCAGAACTTTCAAGCACTGCCAGTGCATTTGAATATTTAATTCTGTCTAATAGAATAAGAAGTGTAAATGAAAAGCTTTTTCTCAACAGTCAAAAATAATGTCTTCAGACAAAACAACATGTTAATCAAAATTTCAGTAACCAATTAAGAAACTGAAGATGTCACAGACTGTGAGTACTGTGGCTAAAAAATAATTAACAATACAATTAGAAGAAGATTGGCCATAGCAGTGCAAAGGTTAAACCGCATGGAGGGCCTGTGGCACAGCACCAACAAACAAATGTGTCAAAAACTTTTGTGTTGCATTCCTTCATATTAATTCTGTGTACACTATTAATTTGCAAAGAAATGTGAATTGTAAAGTTAGTAAAATAGGATGAAACATGTATACTATGTGATATTATAAATGATATATATATATATATCATGTGTAATTTAAATTTTTTATTTAACTTTTCTTCTCAAGGCCTTAGAGGACCAGTTTCAGCGAGAAATTGAAGAGCAGCAGTCTTTCTATGCCGATGTGATCCCAAAAGAAGGCGCCCTCCCAGCATTCCCCAGCATTCGTTCAAGTACTGTTCAAAGTAAAAGCAAAGGGAGCTTAATAAACTCACGGCACTCAACAGTTATTTGAACAGTTATTGTGTGTGCATCTATTGGTTGTTTGAAGAGATTTTGTCCGTACTTTACTTTGATATGCCTTACTTGGCACTACTTGAAGAGGAATTTAGCCTGTGATATTTAAGTATTTATCACGCCAGATGCATATAAATTAATTCTTAGAAGATATTCTAGGCACTGTAAATTGTTTGAAACTTTGCTGATGTTGTGTGACATTTCTGTTTCAACTGCATCTTTAAGGCGCTTTTTTACTTAATGTAAGATAATGTTTATGCACCCATCATTTGCACATATTCATTTTGCATATGGTGTGTTCAGTTGGCTGCCATAAGTGGCGTGTTCAGTATGTAGCAAAGCTCAGTAAAATGTGGTGATTGGGGAAAAGAGGGCGGAGAGGGGGGGGGGGGGGGGTATATAGACAGTTATTTTGTATTTGTTTTGTTATGTTTGGTGTATGATATGTTCCTGTGATAAAAGAGGAAAGGAGAATTTATGTTAGATATTTTGGTACCGTTTACATTATGACAAGGCAGATTTAAAGAAAAAATACCCAAACAGCAGTTTTGCACTTTTTCATTGTGTCTCACACAGTTTAGAATTATAGGTGAAGCAAATAAATTAACCATTTTAACTTAAATACAAATGTTAAACACGCTCAGATATAACTGCCTGTATACCAGGGTAAGATTAGGTTTATAACAAGGCAGAAATTCTACAATTTGTGTGACAGCCAATATTTTACTGCTTAATGAACATTTAGTTGCTTTGTTCAAACAGCTCTGGATGTAGTTATGGCAAAGTATTGCCAGTACATTGCCTGCATGTTACTGGGGTCCACAAGGGAAACAAAGAGTCATACAGTCAAACTGACCTTGGAGGTGACCCACTGAATCTGACCTAGGAGGTGACCCACTGAAACTGACCTAAGAAGTGACCCAGTGAAATTGACCTAGGAGGTTACCGAGAAAGGTCGGAGCGACACTGGCTACTCCAGCCCTTAGCATAAACTTAAGCTGTATACATAAAGCTTACGTTAATTTATAACAGGAAGCCCAGCAGCAGTCAACATTTTCTTTCAGGAACTTGAAATGTGCAAAAAGTTTAAATAATAGCATGGAGATGTTGTTGTTTGATCTGTGGCAGACTTCTCCCTTAATCTATTCTAGGTGGTAAAAACAGAATCACAGTATTTATAAACAAACAGATTTATAACATTTTCAGTTTACAGTGTTGCTTGACAGGTAACTTTAATTACAGTGACATGCGTTCTTGCCGGTTTACTTGTTTTGTAAAAATTCAGTATTAATCTTTTCATGTTTTTAATATGTTTGCATATTTTAATGAGCTTGTAGACATTAACGTTTTATATTGAGATTTTATTGGCTGCTCATTATCACTATATTAGCAGTTATCATTCATTGTCTCAGGAAATGATTGACATTCGTTGTCTCAGGAAATGATTGAAAGTACTTGAGACTGAAGGCTGTAGACGGCCATGATAGCCAATCACATGGCATGGACTGTAGGAAGACATATAAGCAATCTAACTGTGATCATTAGGACTAATTGCAACTGCAATTGTAGCTCCTCAAGTAGAATCCCCTTGATTAATAGAGGTGAACAGTTGAAAACAATTGTGTTTACCCTCTAAAATTGAATACTGAAAGGTCAGCATCCAAGGAGACAGACACTATTTGGATAGGAATCCAACAAGGGCAAATCCCAGGAATCCTGTTGAACTGTAAAGCACAGTTTTATAAGGGCACCCAATGATGGTTGCTAGGTAACAAGCAGTATAGTTTGGGCAGTTGACTGTTGTTTTATAAGGGCACCCAATGATGGTTGCTAAGTAACCTGCATTATAGTTTGGGCGGGTAGGAAGTTGCTCTTGATTGAAATTAATGAGATTAATGGTTCTTTAAACAGTTATGTAGAATCTTCTTGAAGTAGCTTGATATTTTTTTTTAAATCTTATGAAGAGCATGTGCTTTTTGCATTCTTGAAACAGAGCATGTTCAGAATATCTAGATTTATACTCCCAAACATGTATTTTGTAACAATAATTTAGTTTTCAGTATTTTAAAAAAAAATCACTAGCCATTTTAGTAAAATTATTTGAACAGAAAGGCTTTTGGTATAATGTACCATTATTTTGTATTCGCCCGACTGTATTGTCTAACACTTGTCTACAACAGACATATCATATAGTCATTCACGTCATAATATCAAGAGCAGCAACAGTGTAGACTTAATTGAGAATGCAGACTTGGGCTCGATAGTCCATGGCTTACTTCACACACAGGCAATTCTGTTTAAAGCGGTTAATCAGTTATTCTTCTGTGCTCATCATCAAATGGAATGTTGAATTAAGATTTGATATCATAGCACTCGGGGCACTCCCATAAGCGCTTTGTCCCCCATCTTCAGCAGCAAGCGAAGAGTTCCAATTCCGATGGTACCAGTAACTGTCTGATTGTATATCCTTCTCGCCTTTCCATTGAGTGTTGAGCTTCAGCCAGATCCCCTGGTAGCTCCCCGCATCATCCTTCTCCTCAGACTGTAATGTTCTACTTGTGCCTGCACACTGTTCACTCTCTCCCAAAGGGTCCTAACAAAATCTTTATTGTTATACATCTGTTCACCACCAAGTGGTGCAGAACCATCATTAAATGTTATTTGTAGTTTCCAACTAGGTTGTGATATGTGCAACACATCCTGTTTTAGCAAACTTCTTGTTAGTCACCTTTTATGACATGATCGTTATGGGCATTGAGTCTATTGGAGGAGGAGGGGGTTGTTAGGTTGTTGTTGCCCACAGTGGGGTCCCAGAACCCACAGAGGAAGGCTTGGATTTTTCAGTAAATATAATTTATATTGCCACCACAGCATTTGTTTAGAATATGTAAGAAAAGTCAGGGCTGGTGTTATCATTACGTTGTCTACCAAGATACAGGTCAGGGTTAAATCCCTAATACAGTTAGGATTATCTGTGTAGCTGTTAGGCACTGGGGGGCCGCAGTAGTGTAGCGGCTAGATGCTTGCCGGAGGAACTTAGATATACATCTGCATTGAGTCAGATTTCTTTTTCCAGAATTGAATTTGGCTGTCCTGTCCATGCAGCCGAAAATGGGTACTAAGGTCCTGGGAAGTAAAGGTGGCTGGCATGGTATTCACATCGTCCACCAAGTGCCGATTGGTTTATAAAAATATGAGTAGCATCGCACGTCTGATGTGCCACTGGTATAAGTATGCCAGTCTAATAAAAATGGGTATTAGACAGTTTTATAGTTTAATGTCGAGTTGTACTTATTTTTTCACTATCAATTAAAAATTTGTTTGTGTCAGTGAAGTTGATATGCCGTGCTTTCTTAAACTTAAGGTGTTTTTTTTTCACATGTATAAATAAAACTAAAATAATAATAAAAAGAAGTGAGTTGTTGCAGAGACTAATAAAAATGGAACAAAGGAGAAACAACACACCCATTCATTGTCATTATCAGAAATCAAAACACTTATCAAGGAAAATGTGCACCTAAGAACCGAATACTGCAGGCTCAGCTACCACATGCCAAAAAAAAAAGACTGTATAGTCCCCACAGTGTGCCTGTCAAACAGGACCACAAACACCTGAGCACATTCTGCAGACCTGCCCACTCTGCCTAAAACTACAAAAAGAAACCTGGCCTCAAGAGCAAAGTGTGCAGAGCAAGCTGTGGGGAACCATGACGGATCTGCAGCTGACATGCAATTTCATAGAGACAACCCACCTGACAGTCTGACCTGAGCATACGAAGCTGAACGCAATGTAAAAGAAGAAGATATAACATAAAATGGCTACTGTGTTAGAGTAGGTATTAATAGGTGTCTTATGGTTAGCTTTTTTCTTGATATTTGCTCTCCTTTATTCATCATTTTGTTTTATTTTTTCTCCTGTTGATACAGTCTGTTTTTTCTTATATTCTTCATTATTTATGATGGAACTTTTAAACGGGAGCAGTGAACAAAATGTGGATTCTGAAATGCATTCACTGTTTTCAGCTTACAAATTAAGCAGAGGAATCTCATTATGTAGAGTTAGTCATTGTTAAATTTACTGCAGTTGAAAACATTAGCACAGATGGGTAAACATAAATTTGTAGACGTTAAACAAATAAAATAAACTACTAGTAAAGGAAAGGAAATAAATTTGTTACAATTTAGAGAAAGGAAAACATTATACTGTCGCAGAGAACAAAGACAAAATGATCTTATTTCTAAGCAGTCAAAGAAGGAAATTATATATTTGTGAAAATTTTATGAAAAGAAACACACATATTCCTAATGAATACACAGTAGAACAGAAGCTCAGAACTAACAGTGATATATTGTGGCGTTTGTTAAAGCTTATATGTTACACAGTAATTTGTTAACGTTTATATGTTACACAGTAACTACAAACATATCAATGGTGTCTCTAAATTTGAGAGACACTATCAGAACTGTATGCTAGCTTTGTTTGTGTGCCAGGTTGTACAGATGTTTGAAAACGTCTGTAATGGAAATTCCTAATGTATGCCTTATTTGTGTTTAATAACTTAAAAATCACTTCATTCAATTCCAGTGGCAGCCATACATTGTGTCACAAATTGTCTTTCATTTCACTACGCCATTCTGTATGTTTCACAATCAGCAACACTGTACATTGGGCACGCTCACATGTGCTTAGTTTTCAGCTGCAGCGGATATCCTAGAAGTTTTCAGCTGCAGCGGGTATCCTAGAAGTTTTCAGCTGCAGCGGGTATCCTAGAAGTTTTCAGCTGCAGCGGGTATCCTAGAAGTTTTCAGCTGCAGCGGGTATCCTAGAGTACCTCTCCTGATGGTTCCCAGGTTGAGTTGGTTATTAAGCATCCTACCTTGACCTTGAAAATGTCCTAGACATGGTAAAGTAAAGGATTCTTTTCCACGCCTTAAGGCATATAGGGCATATAAGGTCAGACCTGTATTTTATAGACCAGTCGGTACAAGATGGGTGAT